ACCTTGGTCACTCTCAGTTGCTGCTAGTACCATCGATAGGAGATTTGTCACTGATGTGCAATTAGGAAATGGTGAAGTATATGAGGTGAGAAATCTTACATCTACCAACCTATAATTGGTAATATATTTATATTCCCTCCGTCTCAATTTGTACATGTACGCCTTGTGTTGCAGGGGGTATCCATCAACACTTTTGACCTCGAGGACCAGTATCCACTAGTTTATGGTGGAGACGTTCCGAATACTGAGGCAGGGTATAATGGATCTGAATCCAGGTATTAAATTGAAGTAGAACCTAGTTTGAATAATTGTATATAATATCTAAAAACATTATACATATGAAAGGTACTGTGAAGAAAATTCATTGGACAAAAGTAAGGTTAGAGGCAAATTGTCCTCTGCGATTGGACTTACAATGGAACAATTATAGCTGGAGCTGTTGGAGCTATAATGCAAGATGATTTCAATGATGCTGCGTTTTCTTTCCCCATATCATCTACATACTTGAGCACAAACGATGGTACCGAAGTTTACAATTACCTATATAAAACACGGTATATATATATACCTCTACTGCAAACAACAACACTCTAATTCAAATAACAAAGGCTAAATATATACTTTTCTAAATAATTTCTTCAGTAAACCAACAGGAAGAATTCTAAAAAGTAGTGAGAAGGGATCAGAATCTGCCCCTTTCGTGGTTTCCTTTTCATCAAGAGGACCCAATGCAATTACAAGCGATATTCTAAAGGTAAAATTCATTATCACACTAATCCTTGCCTAAGACATTGTAATATTGTATGTTTATCACTAATTAATCGCGAACATTAATTTGGTAGCCTGATTTGAGTGCACCTGGAGTGGAATACTAGCAGCTTGGTCTGAAGGTACCACTGTAACCGGTAATATACATGGAGACAAACGAGTAGTTCCATTTAACATAATATCCGGGACGTCTATGGCTTGTCCTCATGCTACTGCAGCAGCCCTCTATGTTAAATCATTCAACCCAACAATGTCTCCCACTGCCATCAAGTCTGCTCTAATGACTACCGGTAAACTCTTATATTCCACTTCCAATTATACGACACTCTTTCAAAAATCGACAAGTTACAAAATATTTCGCACCATTTAACAATTCTGTTATATACAGCCACACCTATGAGCTCCAGTGCAAACAGTGAGGCAGAATTTGCATACGGGTCTGGTCAAATAAATCCAATAAAAAGCTGCACATCCCGGTCTGGTGTACGACATGGTAGAAAATGATTACGTGAAATTCTTGTGTGGCCAAGGATACAGTACCAAGAATTTGCGGATTATTACAGGGGATAAGACTTTTGTAGTACTTCTCAAACTGATGCAACTGTTTGGGATCTAAACTACCTTCTTTCACAATTTCTTCTTCAAAAAACTCAAAGATCACCCGAGTGTTTCATAGGACGGTCACCAACGTTGGTACGCCAGTTTCAACTTACAGAGCAACTATTGTAGCACCTCAGGGACTCAACGTTCGAGTGGAACCAAGCCTTATAACATTCAGATCAACAGGGCAGAAGCAATCGTTCGTGGTGTCGATAATGGCACAGATAAATGACTCTATGATTTCAGGTTCTTTGGTGTGGGATGATGGTGTGCATCTAGTTAGGAGCCCTATTGTTGCTTATGCTTCTACATAAAAACATAGGATCATAGGATATTAGCTTCTTCTTGTTTCTTGTAATTACTTCTTTGGATCATTCTTTTCTGTGTAGGTATATATACATGTATGAGTGAACTAATGCGACTCATTAAACATTTATTGCTTTTCCATTCATACTAGAATTTCTGAATCTTTGTGCACAAATACAACAACTATGAAAGGAGCTTCAATGGGTTAGTCGGTCCCACCAAGCGAGCCATCAACAATTCAGGCTAGGTGATAGAAGGGGGTTCATTCGCCAAAAAATTACACATTATATTAAATCTGATTTTTAGTTTTATATATCATAAAATTGTCACGACTCCAAAACAGACGTGATGACACTTGTCCAATCCCACCAAGACAAGTCAGCCTAACCCAACAAAAATGAAAGAAATATGAAAATATAAAGTAGAATAAGATAAAGCAGAAAACGTCATACTAACGTTGTGATCCTATATTTGATAGTGTGACAACATTCAAAGTCCGTTCGGGAAGGAAAAGCTCCGGCAAAGTGATTTGGAGCACACGAGGTCGGCCTAAAGGTAGGCTACGGCTTCCTTTCTATTAGATTGAGCTTAATTGTGTAAAAACATGTGGATTGGAGTGAATTATATTGGGGGCGGGTACCCGTTTCTTAGTTTACTTTGATTATACCTTGTGCTAGGATCAATTGGCCATATTTCGGTGTAGTACCACGTGAGTCGAGTTAGTACGTAGAATTGCATGCTTATGTGCTAAATGTTATTGTATGCTTGTATGATGCATGTTGCATGCTTTGTTCATCGTCAGCTGTGAGCATGGTGTCCTTAGTCTAGGTTAGGCTAGCGTTGCCTTAGACTTATGACCCGTATGGAGTGGATATCCTTGACTTTTTGCCTATGTCGTTCGGATGACTTAGCTCCCTGTAGAATGGAATAACATACTTGAGTTTGATAGTCTGAGCCTTAGCTTAGGCGTTATCGCTGCTTGTTGCACTTCATTCTCCCTCTAATTCTGTGAAATCTGACACGTTCTCGGAGGTTCGGTGCATCACCAGAGGTGTGGGATTGAGATAGTATATTCTTGGAGCCTTTTTTTGATTTCTTGGAGTGGACGACGTTCCACGATGGCTATTGCTGGATTGGATCCTATAGGAGATACCATCACCCCTGGGTCGTTCTTTCTAGCTAGGCTGGGAGCGTATCGCTGGCAAGGTGGACTCGGTGATTTCGCGATCGCACCCGGGTCTCTCTTTCTAGTCAGTTGGTTGGGGTGTGCTGCTAGTTGGGTGTCTTCGGGTCACTCTTTCTTAGCTGGGTTGGGAGTTGACTACATGGTACGACGACTCGCGATATCTTATCATCACCCCGGGTCCCTCTTTCTAGCTGGGTTGGAAGTGGACTGTCTGGTTGGGTGCTCCTCGGGGTCACTCTTTCTAGCTGGGCTGGGAGTGCACTGCTGGCTGGGTTGGAGTCTGATGGGTTATCTTTGTAACTTTGGGTTGGGAGCCGGTTCTCTTCTTTCTCAGTAGACTTAGCTTATTTTGTGTACCTGTCGGACTTATGGGGGTTCGTTCAGATTTTATTTAACCTTGCGCACGAGTGTAGCTTCTGGGCTTATGGGGGTCTAGTTAGGTTTAGTTTAACTGTACTTAGTTTATTTCTGGTAGGTTCATGTTCTTTCTTTTCATATTCGTTTTGACCTCTCTGTCTAGATTCTATCCTTTCTTATTATTTTTATCCTTTTTGCTCAGTTGACCATTGATGCCTACTAAGTACATGTTGTTTTGGTACTTATGCTACACTCTGCATCTATTTCATGATGTAGGTCCAGTACCAGTTACCAACGGTGATTAGTTCCAGCCTTCTTTTGCAGATGTGATTCAGAGACGAGGGTGAGCACTTGGCTTTTTGGGTTTGTTCTGTCTCCTTTTGTTTTATATAGTCTTATTGCTTTTGAGACATGCTTTGTTGTGGTCCACTTTTGGGACTTGTACTCCTTATTAGACAACTCTGTACTAGTGACTTCCAGGTTCTAGGAGGGATTTTTGTATATATTTATTTTGGTTTGCTTCCGTCTTGTTGTCCTTTGTTTAGATTATTGCTGTCACTAGTTTCTACCCTTGCGCTCATTACTTGATGTTCTAGGTTACGGTGGGGTATAGTAGGTGTCATCATGACTCGAGAAATCGGGTCGTGACACTCTAATAGATGCTCTATGGTCTTATTGTTGGATTTGGGCTATGGAAATATTATTTAAGTGATTGTTTCTTTTTATATAAATTGATATATGATTTTGGTTGGATAATGATTTCGTTTTAATGAGTATTGATGAGTTTTAGAGTTGCACATGTTTTATCTTTGTGCTCAAAAGAGTTGGTAAGAGTATGTTATATTTGGTACCCAACATGTGGTGTTAACGGGTGTCAATCACGTCTAGGTGGTATTTCGGGATGTGACAAAGTTGGTATCAAAGCCTAGGCTTTAAGTCTCGTGTCATGGAGTAGTGTTTGGTAGAGTTACAGATGGGTATATAGGCGCCCATACTTATGACCTTGAGGCTATACCAAACAATTAGGATATTTTTCTCTTTTTATTCCTTGTTCGTGCTTTGAGTTAAATCAAGTTTAACCCTTGAATATTATTTTGCAGATGGCTAAGAAACGTGGTTCTTCCTCTGCTGTTCGATCTAATGCATCTGTTGAACGTGTATGAGACTTGGTATTGCCTCAGTGGCAGTCAAGGCAGGTTCGAGATACTCCATCAACAGGGCCAGCTGTTGTGCCTACTGTTGCTTTGCTAGTTGATGCCGTGATGAGATTATTGAATGTGTTGGAGGCATTAGTGCCTAATCAGGGTGGAGTTTAAGTACCCCAGGCTACTCCACAAATCCAAGAAAACTTATAAAAATGATTGTGTGCTTCAATTAGTATTGTTTGTGTGCTTCAATTAATATTATTGGAAGAACTTATATTTGAGAAAGTCGCATTGAAGTTAATTAACAGAAAAGGGGTTAATGTAACTTATAAAATGATTGGTATTAGAGTAGAAATAAAACAACAAATTAAATGGCAAGCATAGAATGATAGAAAAACACTTTATTTACATCAACTGGCAATAACATAGAATAACAATTAAAACTAAAAAATTTCACGTGCCACATATAATGGCCATGTAAACTTAAAGACTATTTGTTCTAAATGTCGTTACTTTATTAATTTCATGTAGAACACTGGATAGATTATTTTTATGTTATCATTGAGTATGTTGTTGTTGTAATAGTATCAAGTATATAATTATTATATCACATGTAAGCGAAATACGCATTGTATGTGGTTAATTAATTAGGGTTTTCGAGATGAATATTGTTTCCAAGAAGAGCACTGAAAATTTGAGCAAGTTCCATGCCATGACTTTGTACATTCACCTCCTTCACCATCACAGCATTTGCACTCCAAACCAATCGTTGAAAACATCTTCCAATAATCACCTATACATTTAATTATATAAAATAAGAAATAATCATTATTAATTAACATATAAATTAATTCCAAGACAAAGAAAATCATTTAATGTTGCCAAAGAAAAATTAAAATAGTGAGTGCTGACTTTTAGGATGTTGAAGAAATACATGGTTAGCTTCAAAACTTGAAGTGGTTATTATCATTACTAGTACAAGAAGAACAAAGAACATAAAATATTTTGACATGCCCATCATAAAGAGATGTTGTTAAGAGAGCACTCTGGAATTACAAATTGATACTAAATTATGCTGTTATTTATATGCACTAGTAAACGTATCCGTGTAATACACGAATAATATTAAAATACTCCCTTCGTCCATTTTTATTTGTTGTGTTGTGTTTTTCGAAAGTCAATTTGACTAATTTTCAAAGTTAAATGAGATTACATTAATTTGATATTTTAAACAAAAAATTTAGATATTCAAAAATTATATGAAAAGTACTATAAATTGCATTTTTTTTTTCATATGATCAATATGATTAAAAAATACATTATAAAATATCAGTCAAAGTTTTCATACTTTGACTCTAAAAAAGGAAACTATGACAATTAAAAATAGACGGGGTGATATTACTTTTTAATCGTTTTATATAGTTGGGCTACTAGAAGGAAACAAAATAGTAAGAGCGTGCATCGCGGCTTTAATCCTATTAATACACACAAGTAAGGGTGGCAACGGAACCGGTAACGGAACTACCGGACCGGGACGTTCCGGAACCGGAACGGAACCGGGCACCACGGGCCGGAACCGAACCGGAACCGGGACGGACCGGAACCGGTAATTCCGGAAAAAAATACCCGAACCCGTCCCGGACCGGTAACGGACCGGACCGGACCGGAAACCGGGTCCAACCGTTATAAATTATATTTTTTTATTAAAATTAAAAAATTAGGAATATTACACTTAAAAATTTATACTTTTAAAGTTTTAAATACAAACTTTCAAACTTTTAAAAGTATAAAAGTTTAAATTTCACAATTTAAAACTTTGAAAATTTAAATTCAAACTTTAAAACTATAAAAGTTTAAATTTCACCCTTTAAAAGTTTGAAAATTTAAATTCAAATTTCAAACTTTAAAACTATAAAAGTTTAAATTTCACAATTCACACTTTAAAAGTTAGAAATTTTAAATTTGAATTATAAACTTTAAAACTATAAAATTATAAAAATTTAAATTTCACACTTTAAAGTTTAAATTTAAAGTTTGAAAATTTAAAGAATTTCTTTAAAATTTAAACTTTAACTATAATTTCACACTTTAAAAGTTAAATTTGAACTTTTGAAGACAATAATAAAAAAAAATTAAGGCGAATAGCCTATACTTTTATTAATATTAATTAAATAGTACAAGTTGAGTTACAAATATTAGTAGAGTATTAAAAATCTTCTAGGTTCTGTTTGAATTAGACCTCGAATTATTATACTATATAATAGAC